TATTGGGGTTTTATTAGGGTTTTAGGGTTTAGTCGCTCACCCAGTGCCGCAGTTCAGCCACACTGACCCTTACAAACAGAAGGCCTTCCGTGCAAAGCCCAGGCTGCTGCAGCGTGTGTTCAACACGCGTCTCCTGCTGACCCAGCAAGCACATTAGCCCATGCGTCTTGCTGTCAAAGGCTTTGCCCATAAGCCAGATGGCCACAAAGCCAGCAGTCTCCAAAGAGCAACCTGGGCGCCCCACACCCGGCCAATGGTGTGTGAGGATGGCCACTAGTTTGGGCAAGCCATCCCCATCGGTAGGGCCCTGGGAGTGGCAGGCAAGGTCTGTTTCAGGGTTGATAATAATAAGGTTTAAATTCAAATACTTTAATTGCAGGGTTGTAAAAAGGATGTCTCACTGAGTAGAGGACCTGGTCGGTCCACCACCATGACCCGGGCCCTTTGTTTCATAATGACAAGACCAGATCAGTCCCATCATCTCTTTTCGGTGATCTTCCCTGAATCTTTTGCCTACATATGCCTGGCAAGGACCAGACCGGTCCCTGCCAAAAAAAAAACTTGCAAAGGACCGGCTCGGTCCCCGTCTGAAAATCAGAGGTTTCTCTTTTTGACCATGCTCGTTAAAGTTTGGTTGCTATGTAACAAGCCGCCATCCGTATTTTGGGCTTTACTGGGTTTTCTGCTTGGGCCCCGGCGCCGGGGCCCGGCGCCGGGGCCCGGCGCCGGGGCCCAGCACCGGGGCCCGGCACCGGGGCCCGCCCAGTAATGTTTACATTTCTTAAATATTAACAAGGTAACATCTTATTTAATAATCTGTATCATAACTAAAATGCAAGATATATCTCCACAATTAATGAGATTTCTACGAAATGATATTATAATAGATCATCTGATATGTTCGTTATAAGAGAATAAATCTAGATAGTCTGTATGTATATATATATATGTATATATAATCATAACACAAGCCGGCACCGGGCCCCGGCGCCGGGCCCCGGCGCCGGGCCCCGGCGCAGGGCCCCGGCGCCGGGCCTCTGTGTATATGTTATAAGTAGATAATACATACAACTAAAAATAATAATGTTTAATAATAATTTAAAATTACAATTATTGTTGCAGATAAGTTTCACATATTTCATAAGACTTCAAAATTTGTATCATAATAGGAATGAGTCTTATTATTATTATTACAACTTATAACAAGACACAGTGCCGGGCCCCGGCGCCGGGCCCCGGCGCCGGGCCCCAGGCCGAGAGGTCTGGAGTTGTGAGTTTCGATTGCTGTTGAGCCTAGAGCTTTTTGATGATTGATTAATACAGTCCAAGCTGATGACCCTGGCGGACCCAGTGACCCATTAGGACAAGAAGAATGTTATTATTTCCTAAACCACAACAATGTTATTCTTAGCCTTCTAAAATTCAACTTAAACTGAATGACAGTCCTGACCCGGGCTGGAAGGTGAGCGAGATGTGCCTCATTGCACCGCAAGACAGCGACAGAGCAATGGCAAGAAGAGTGTCACCCACGAATTCAAAACGGCCAAGCATGACCCTGACTCAGCACTGCACTCTCAAACGCAAGATGCACACACAAACTGCCTGGGCATCCGTGGCCTTGTGACCCTGAACGAAGCCGTGGCGAAGGCACCTGCACGCACAGAAACACGCTCACTGCGTGATCCCTCATGGACTCTGACCCTGACAGACAAAAGGCAGGCACTTGCACGCTCAACCTTTTGCTTGGGAAGCCATGGGACTGTGGAGCCAGGAAGTCAGACGGTGCAGCTACTTTCTTTCCAGCTTCGTTCTTGCCACTGCTTACTACTATACCATACTAAAATTATTCTGCAGTAATATATTCGTCATTAAGTCTGCTGACCCTGACACCACAAATTGGCAATTCAGCAGTGCAAAGCAGCCCTTCGGGCAGCGGCACAGAGTGCAAAATGGCCCTGACTGCACAATGATCATTGCACGGCGCAGATGCAGCTAAACAGGGGCACAGGCATCACACTGACCTTGCTAGCTGTTGTTTATGAAACGATGAGTGTTGTACTACATTGTGACCCTGTCAGACTACACTGCACGATTCTCGACCATTGGTAGCTCGTGGTTCACGCGGCTGGTGATCCACCCTCCCAGTTCTTGCTCTGGGTTTTTGTAGTGGGCCTGGATCGCAGTGGTCCTCAGCAGTCGATGGGCTTTGGTTCCAGAGACTTAACGCCAGTTTCTACTACAAAGACAACTAAAGCAGCTGAAGTTTGCAAATGCAAAAATGTTGTGGCCAAGTGTCAAAATGATCGAAGCCCGCAACTGACCCTCGTAGCTGAAACAGTAGAGAAAGCGCAGTCGAGGCAGGTGGGACAAGTTGACCCCGACGCCGGTAAGGATCTCGGTCCTGGGCTGGCGGGTTGTAGGGCCGACGACTTGTTCAAGCCTAGGGAGGCTCACATACTAATAAAGCAAGAAAAAATTGCACTGAAGTGGAGAAAAGCAACAAGACCTCCGTGGCCTGATTGACTACGTTGACCCCGACGGGAGCGACCGCTTCCAATGCAGCCTCGGCGTCTTCATCGAAGGATTGCCGAAGCCCTCCAAAGACGTTGGCCGTGGAGTGTATCAACCACGCGGAAGGGTTCTTGGGGAACTCGGCTGTGGGGCAGTTCTTCAAGTAGCGGAGGAAGTCGCGCGCCCACTCTTCCCTGACCCTGAACAACAAGTAGAGGACCTAGGCTGCTGAACCCCCACATTGACCCTGACACTTTGGCTGCAGAAACCCACATTGACCCTGACTTCAGGAACAAGCTGAAAGCAATACTAATTTTAATCCTTGGAACCTGCTGCGCCCCGTGGTCGAAATGCTGTTCTGCCATGCGCACGACGTTCGGCGTCAGGTAGCCGAGCACCGCTGACCCTTCCCAATTCTGGGCCCGCTGCGGGGTGGTCCTGAGAAGCACGAGGAGGTTGCGTCACAATGACCCAACCAAAACGAAAACCTCTAAGACTCACGTTCCAATTATTGCCAAGTCTCTGCGCTGGCCTTGACAGCTCGCCATCGTTTTGGCGTGGCACTCGCGGTTTGCGGGACCAGGCAGGCAGGCTTCGGGCACGGTTCTCAGCATGGCCCTGATCGCTGCGCCTTTGGTGACCCTGCTGCTGCCCGCCATCTCCAACACCAGAGGCCGCAGACTGAGTGCCAGCTTGACCACCGTCTCCAGTGGCAGCCTGACCCTGACCACCATGTTGATCAGAGCCCGTTTGGTGAGTGGCAGCCTGACCCTGACCACCATGTCCATCAGAGCCAGTTTGGTGAGTGGCAGCCTGACCCTGACCACCATGTCCATCAGAGCCCGTTTGGCGAGTGGCAGCCTGACCCTGACCACCATCTCCACCAGAGCCCGCTTGGCCAGTGGCAGCCTGACCCTGACCACCCGCTGACTGACTGCCCTGACGCTGCGTGCCACCACCATCTCCACCGCCCTGACCCTGATTGTCTGGCAGCATTTGCGGCGGTATCCCTTGCCGGACCAGATTCCAAGCACTGTCCTGACGCTGCTGCGACGGAGGGGCCGCCTGGCTTAAGTGGCCATCGCCTGTCCACTGACCCTGGCGATCTTGCTGCTGGGTCTGATGACCATCTTGACCCTGGCTCCAGCCATCCTGCCAGGCCCAACCATCCCACCACCCAGCTTGGGCCCACCACTGCTCATCTTGGGCCCACCACTGCCCATCTCGGGCCCTTTGCTGCCCATCTCGGGCCCTTTGCTGCCCATCTCGGGCCCTTTGCTGCCCATCTTGGGCCCACTGCTGCCCATGGTGGCCATCCTGGGCCCACTGCTGACCCTGATGGCCAGACATCGCTTCACAGGACAATAATAATACTGAATCTCACAACAGACCACAGGCAAGATTCCCCTGAAATTTTGAGTCGATTGTTGCAATTGTCTCTGCTCTGAATAAAATAAATTAAGCTCGTCACTTCAACTTCTACTCGTCCTTGTGAGCCTGTGATTGTGTCATGACCCTTCATGCAGCTCCAACCATGGCTCTCAGGTGCTGCTGCAATTTAATTCAACTCAAAAAAATCCTTCTCAGAGCATCTGACTGAACTGCAAACGGAACGGCACCTCCTCGTCAATGATCCTCTGACTGTGGAAGGCGCTGACCTGGCAGCAGGAAGCAGGCAGTGGCTGCTGACTGTGTTGGAAGGCACAGGAGAACATGTGACCCTTGATGCTACGCTGCAGCACTGAATGCAAAGATTGACTTGCGCACTGCAGACAAAATGCCAAGCTGACACACCTACCTCCACAACTCCGAATCAAGGCCTTGCCTGACCCTGAGGCCTGCCCGCAGCGGCGGAGGGCCGCCTGCCCGAGAGCAAGGAGTCGGAAAACCCGCAGTGACTTTAAGGGTGTAGGGTCTAGGGATTAGGGGTTTAGGGGTTTAGGGGTTACTGTTTAGGGTTTAAAGTTTTCGGGTTTAAAAGGTTTGTGGAAGTCAAAGGCGGCCCAGCTTCTTGGCTTGGTCAGGGCAAGTTGGGTTCATCAGGAAGTTATTATGATCGCGTTTGCAGTAGAAGTTTTTTCGGCACTGCAGGTGCTGGCGAAGACTTGTCGTCGGGGACACCTTTAGGTGTTGACGCCTTAGGCGTGGGGGCCGATGACCCTGGAGGACGTCTAGGCCTGGGCGTTGAAGACGCTGTCGGCCCTGAAGGCATCGATGACCCTGCCTTTGCGGTGCCAGGAATGCTCCTTGACAGGGATTGACCCCGCATGTGGTCCATCGCGAGCAAGTAGCCATCGATCTGGTGCAGGACGGCCGGTGTCTCCTGCTTTGGCTTGACCCTGACCTGTCGCTCTGCAGCCTTCTTGGCCCTGAGCGCTTTGGCCTCGGCTTTCTCCTTGGCCAGCTGCTCATGCGCCTGAGTTGTCTGAAACACAGCAAACAGATTGATTGATTAATGGGTAAATTATTCAGCCACCCAAACTTTAGATTCAGCCGAGTTTAAAATTATTGTACTTTAAATGCAACGATGGGACCGTGCGCTGGGCCAAGACCGCGGCCTTCGCAACAGCCTTTGGCAGGTACTTCGCAAGGGCGTGCTTGACCATACCTTCCAGACGCTGCTGAAATTCAGTCACCTCCTCTGACCCTGGCTCAGAATTGGACGACGAGGATGAGCTGGAAGACGAAGACGCCGATTTTGACCCCTTTGCAGGAGGCGGCGCTGCAGGGCCAGCATGTTGAGGCGGTGGCACTGTGAGAGGCGTCCCTGGCGCGGGCGCCGGCGCAGAAGCCATTGGCCTCGAGGGATCTTCTGTGCAAGGTGACCCTGGCGCGGGTGCCGGCGCAGAAGCCATGGGCCTCGAGGGCTCTTCTGTGCAAGGTGACCCTGGTGAAGTAGAGACTGGGGGCGCCGGCACAGAAGTCGAAGGCTCGTCTGACCCTGGAGTCTCGTAAACCCCAGCAGCTGCTTCAAACGGATCGTGCCCGAACAGTTCCGAGTCCGACTCCACACCCTGCTCCTCACTGGCACTCTGACCCTGTCCAGGGACTTGGCGTCCGGAAGCATCCGTGCAGATGGGGGCCGAAGGTGTACGACCTGCCATGCGCTGCACTTGACCCAGACGGTCCGGATGCGTCTCGGGGAGAAGTTCTTCGGAGCTGGACTCTTCACCAGTCATCCCAGCTTCGTCCGCCCAAGCCTCCGTTGGTTCCACGGGCAGCAATTCATGCGAAGTTGCATCATCACTGACCCTGGCCAGCGCCGCCTCGATCTCTACTTCCACCAATTCATGCTGCGGTGGAGGGGGAGGTCTGGCGTCTTCAGGCAACGGCTCCCCTACTGCTTGGGGCAGCGCTGACCCTTTGGGCGCCACAGCTGGGCTAGCCTTCGAAGTCAACGCCAACGATGCCTTGACTTGGCTTCGTCCAATCGTTACTACCAAATTACACGACGAGCACTTGACTGACTTAATCTTGGTGCTAATTTTTCTTAGCGTAGGATGCTGAACCAGCCCAGATGCAGACGCAGGAGCTGACCCTGTTGACTTTGACCCAGAAGCTGAGGCAGTTGATGGCTCAATCGGCTCATCCTCCGGCTGATGTGACCCTTCCTCCTCGTCGTCTTCTTCCAGGTTCAAGTTCTAAGCTGTGCTCAGCTCAGGCAGCAGATACGCTTCAGACTCAATTTGATATGAATCAAATCAAAAGTTAAAATTAAAAGAATCTTACTCATTTGACCCGAGGTTCGCCATATTGCTTTGTCAAAAACCTCTCAAAGCGTCTCAAACGACACCCCTCGCCACCTCTCTTGTTCTTCTTCTTGCGCTTGCGACCACGCCCATGCGAATTTGGATGCATGACCCTCACTGTAACAATAGGTTTGAAGTCGGACTCACTGGAATGTGACTTGTTGCAGTGTCCCTGACTACCTGCACTGCCTGCCGTTGAGGCTATGTGACAACTGCCGCTTGGGCAACAATGTCTTGCGCAACACAGTGGATCATTTGACCCTGAATGTAGCAAGCAATTAATTCTGCCCTACATTCGACACGTGAACCCAAAACTCACCAAATTTATTTGGGCTTGAATGCTGGGAGGCCAGTGGAGTGCCCATTTCCCGTGACCCTGGCCTCAGCAGCAGCAGCAGCAGAGTGGCATGGCGACGGCTCAGCTGCCTCCGGTCAAAGATAGGGTTTTAGGGTTTAAAATTTAGGGTTTAGGGACTAGGGACTGGGGGTTAGGGGTTAGGGATTAGGGTTTAGGGTTTAGGGTTTAGTGTTTAAGGTTTAGGGTTTAGGGTTTAGGGTTTAGGGTTTAGGGAAGGGCTTAGTGGGTTTAAGCTTTAAACAACCGGGCGGGGGTGGGGTTGGGGGTGACCCTCTCCGAGCCTCCACTTCATCATCCTGGCTGCGAAGAGACCAGATCGGTCCCTCCGCTAGGCTACGTGCCCCAAAGCTTGCAGCTCTTCTTGACCCGTAATCTTACCAATAATATAATTTCATTCATTAGACAGGACCAGATCGGTCCGTCCGCACAAAGACCCGCCCCCCGAGCCACTGACTAGTCACTGATGGAGAGGACCAGATCGGTCCCTCCAGGAATAACACAGTTAATCAATGAACGATGTCAATGTGTTAGAGAGGACCAGATCGGTCCCTCACACAATTTCCCACCCGACCCTGGGTTTTAAGTTTGATGCAGTTTGACGCAGAGGACCAGATCGGTCCCTGCGCACAAGGGCACTACAATCGTATCCGAACTGCCACCGCCCGACCGAGTTCCCACCCCACCTCATTGTCATGTAAATTGCCGGTTGAAAATATACTACATTGAATTTTAATCATGTCTGGAGTCCCCAGTTTCCTGAGGAGACGACCAGATCGGTCGCCTCCACCCACCAAGTTGTTTAACTTAAGTTGTTGCACAGTATTCTATTATTGCATGAATACTCATTTCGGGAACCTCAGAAGCGGAAGTGACCAGATCGGTCACTCACCGTCCCAGCCTGCCCCTTCATTCATGCCCACCGCACTTTCCCACTGACCCTGACGTTGACCAGATCGGTCACTTCGGAATTCGCAAGTCCTCTTTCCCGACCAAATGCTAGTCTTTAGTAATATTAGAATCGGAAGGACCAGGTCGGTCCCTCCAAACTTGCCAAACACTGAATAGACCCATGACCCTGTTGCTCCTGGCCTCCATAGCGTGGACGTCGTCGCGGATGCCGCACATGACAGGGCTGAGAGAGAGAGGGTTGACCCTGAGGGCTTGGGCTTGCCTTGGGTGCTGTCAGGGACGTTTATGATCCTGACCCTGAACACTGAGCCTGGAGATGGCCAAGAGAAAGTGGGAAGTCCGATTCGGCGAGAGATTCGCCGAACCTGACTTCCCACTTTCTCTTGGCCATCTCCTTGAACCCAGAAGCTATGACTGACAGAACACGTGCAAGCAAATGCCCTACCTAAAGCACAACCCAAAGGCAATAAATGAAAAATGTCCGAACCGCAAACCCAGTTAATGACAGTTGAGAAGGGTTTAAGGTTTCGGGTTGAAGTTTTAAAAGGGCTTCTTGGGGTTGAGGGAGAGAAGCCCAACCCCAAACCCTTAACATCCTTTAAAGCCCTACAACCTCCAAACCCTAAAGCCCCAAAACCCTACAACTCTAAAGAGTTCCTCACCTAGACAAAGTGGGTGTCCGGCTTCTTGGCATTCCCTTTCAGGAGAGCTGGAGGACCCCAGAACCGCGGGAGCCCTCTTAACCTCCCAGAAACAACAACGCCCCAAAGGCCTAAACCTAAAGCCTCCCTGAAACGTAAACCCGAAACCCCAAAACCCCAAAAGCCCAAAAGCCCTAAACCCCAAACCCTACACCCTAAACCCTAAACCCCCAAAACCCTGACTGCCTGTAGCGCCTAATTCCCTCAAACCACTCAAACGCCCCGAACTGGCCTCAAGAACCTCGCCTTCCATGAGAGGTTTAGGGTTTAGGGTTTCGGGCTTCGGGTTTCGGGTCTGGGGTTTGGGGTTTAGGGTTTAGGGCTTAGGGTCCAGTCTGAGGGCCCCCTGCGGTTTCGAGGGTTTTGGTTTCAAGGTTCAGGATTTAGGGTTTAGGGCGTGTGTGTGGGCTAGACCTTGGATGGCACTGTGCCAGAAACGGCTGCGGTTTCAGAGAATTTCTCATGGCCTTTCTACGGAGGACCGCTTGAAACTCTCAGCACGCTGTCTTGGCTTTCTCATCCCTGGCCCCTTAGAGGGTACATCTTCGAAGCACCGCACCCACTAACCCGAAACTTTAAACCCGAAACACCGTTAACCCCCTAAACGCCAGGATGTGTGACCTCTACGGCCTCTACGCGACACTCACAAAGGCTCAAGGGGTTTGGGCGGTTTCAAGGGCTTAGAGTTTGAGAGTTTGCAGTTTGGGGTTGGGAACCGGTTCTTCGACCTCTTGAGAAACTCAACGGAACCTGAATGGATCCATTCACTGTCCCCCCATCTAAATGACACAAGCTAGCAGAGCCAAGATGGAACGCGGCCGTGGCCTCAAAATCTCAGCTTTGAGAGCAGCCCATACACCCTGAAATCTCAGCTCTTGAGAGCGAACCCATAAAACCCCAAAAAGCCATAAACCCGAAAACCCCAAACCCTAAACCCTAAACCCACAACCCGAAACCCTGAACTCTAAACCCTAAAGCAAAACCCTTGAAACCCTCAAACCCCAGAACAGGTTCTGACCTGACCTCGCCTGCAGCGCTGCGGGTGCTCTGCCCAGCAGCGGGCTTCCTTGGGGGGGGGGGGGGGGGGGGGGGGGGGGCGGGGGGTTCCCCAAACCCTAAACCCTAAACCCTACACCCTACACCCTAAACCCTAAAGCCTAAACCGCAAAAGACCACGGTGGAGTTAGGACTTAGTGCTTCTAGAAAGGCTTGGCTGAGGGGTTGTAGATCTGCATGGGGTTTTAGAATGTATCGAGCACCAGTAGACATCTGTTGGCATCAGTTCGAACCCTCATAAACAGGTTCCTGGTCATCTACCCTAGTAGGGATGAGGCAAGTATTGGGTGTATGATGACAGTTCGAAGGTTCTCCAGGCAGTTGAAGGCAGATTATCCTGATGAAGAGCCTAAGCCTTAGGCTCTCTCGGATTGTAGTTGGGTTCTGACAGTTTGGGCGTATTCTGCCCCTTGAACACTCAACCTTGTCCGAAGCCACTTCGGAAGGAGAGACAAAGGATCCAGAGTCCGCACCAAGGGGCAAGTGAAGATCTTGCCTCTGAACGTCTGAGCCACGCCAGGCCTGTCGTCTGTTCTTGCTGTGCCGGAGCACGATGCTTATACTGCCAGACCAGAAGGAGGATATAGCATGTCGAATCTACACTTAGAAGCAGTCGTATAACGCAAAAAAAAACAAATTCAATGAACAAGACCATAGGAGAAGGACAGCATCTCTCTATGGGCCCGAAACGGGAGTCTTACAATTCGGGTCGGGGAGGAATGTGTCGCATCGCGACGACTGCTTTGATGAGGGCACTGGAGCACAACTCTTTTCTCGCGAATGCGGATCATGTGGCACCTGCGCGAGGTTTCATTGGTTACTGCTCTTGCAAATAGGTCGTGTTTTTGGCTTCGTGTTTTTGTGCTTGCATGTCCATGGGCATTGGGGCAAGTAGCAGCAGCGGCTCACGATTCAGCAGCCAGGGGCTCACGATTGAAGTTAGGTTTGAGGGTTTCGGGTTTGTAGGGCTTGCCAAGATATTTAGGGCCTGTACGACTAGAGTTGGCCGTTCATTAAACCCTCTGAAACACGTTTTAACAAGATGCTCTTAGGCCAACTTACTTGACGCATCGAATGTTCCAGGGTGCCTGGCAAATGATAAGATTTGGTCGGGCTTCTTGTTGAGTTTGAGCGCATTGAAGGCAGCCTCTTTGCCCGTGGAGGGGTCAAGCGCTTAGGGAATTTTGGGGTTTAGGGCTTAGGGTTTGTAGGGTTTTGGTCACGTATGGGCGCGAAAGGACTGCTCCTCCCCTTGGGTTTGGGGTTTGAGGGTCGCGGGGTGTTGAGTAAGTATGTGAGGCGCCCCCTCAGCTAAAAAACATTTCTGAAGTGACATGAAAACCCTAAATGCTGGGCCCTATAGACCCTGTATGAACTCTATAAACTCCTATGAAGCCTACACACCTGTGAGACTATCAACCTTCTACCCTTGAACCCCATGAGCCATTCCCTAAACCCTTGTACCCCCTAGACCCTGACCCTAAACCCTAAACCCTAAACCCTAAACCCTAAACCCTAAACCCTAAACCCTACACCCTGAACCCTAAACCCTCCTATGACAAGAGCCCCGAGTCGCAGACAAGGCCTCTGATCGCGCACTGCGACCTGTGGACCTCTCCAGCATGCACCCACTCCCGGAACGGGTCCTAAACCCTAAACCCTAAACCCTAAACCCTAAACCCTAAACCCTAAACCCTAAACCCTAAACCCTAAACAGGGTTTACTCGTGCTTTTCGGGGACATAGGGGTTCTGCAGGGATTGTTGGGTTCAGGGTCTGGGGCGTGAGGGTGAAAGGGTCACATGGTAAAGGACTAAGTGGGTGAAGAGGATGAAAAAGGTCTAAGGGTGAAAGACTTAGCTGGTGCCCTCTGACTACTCGTTCCCAACGTTCAATTAAATTCCACGCCTCGGCCGCTCGCCCGAAACCCTCCTAGTTAGTAGGGCCTGTCCGGCGGAGAGAAAGGCGCGGAAGCGGAGCTCACGCTGTCCTGCTGTTGAGGGGTTAGGGTTTAGGGTTTAGGGTTTAGGGGATAGACCTCGCACACCTCGAATTTGGGATCAAGCGCCTCTCAGCCAGACATCACACCTTAACCTCTGGTGCGCAAGCAGACCCTCAAGCAGCAGACACATCAGGGCCAACAAGCACCGAGGCCATCATGACAGGGCGTGGCGTTGTCCTCATCACACTGGATCAGGCTGCGCACCTTTTTTCGGCTCAGGGTATGAGAATCTGGGTGGTATGTGACTATGTGAAAGATTCGGATCCTCAAGACATGATCTGTAAGCCTTTGATGAAAAAAATCCGAAGCCCTGCATACCCGAAAAATGAAACCCTTGAAGAAGCTGGCTGGCGCTCAACTCGAGCACTCTATAAGGGTACTGCTGGTGGGGGTGCGTGGTGGCGCGTGGGGGGGTGTGTAGGGTGTGTAGGGCGTGAGGTGTGTGTGGGGTGTGTGGGGTGTGTGGGGCGTGTGTGTGTGTGGGGGTCATGGGGGCCGCATGGCGGGTGTGTGTGGTGGGTGTGTGGCGTGTGGCTGGGGGCGGGGGGGTTGGGGGTGGGTGGGTGGGTGGGTGGGGGTGTTGTTTTTCTTTTTTTTACGAGATGCAAACAATTGCCAGCATTTTCACCCGTTTTGCCAGTCAATCCCCTGGCAATCTTTCTAATATCCATGCTTCCCAATGATGCCCAGTGGCCCAGTGCTCAACCGACCAGTTTCAAAGTACTCAAAGCAAGGCTTGGAAACCAAAGTACTCGAACCATAGACAAAGTACAATTGCAAAGTATGAAATGGGTAAAATTTGTGACAATAAAGAACGTATCCATGCGCATGATTCAAACTCTTGTGTACAACATTTCGTGGGGTCAGCGCGGCGGGTATGTGGCGGGTGTGTGGGGGCGGGTGTGTGGGGGCGTGTGTTGTGGGTGTGTTGGTGGGTGTGTGGGGGGTGTGCTGCGGGTGTGTGGGGCTGCACCGTGACGATCATAGTCATAGTACTCGGAAATTCACAAACCTAACGATTCCTGAACCCGCAGCATTGTTGGGAGAATCTCTGGTGATGTTGATTCTTGGGGCAGGGTCATAGCATTCGATCAAATATACTAATGAATCACCGAATTTCCACACTAAGTCCATATGCAAAAAAAACCAAAAAAACTAAACCCCAATGCACTATCCACACCAGCCGAGGGGCTGTCGAGCTGTCATTCCGGCTGTAGGCCGGACGACTTGTCGACCTGTTTTGGGGGAGGGTGGGGGGGGGGGGGGGTGCAAAAGCCCTTAACCAGTAGTGGTTTTAGGGCCCTAGGCCCTAAACCCTGAACCCTAAACTCAGAGAGAGAAGTGGAAAGGCAGTTGTCTCTGAGTCATTGCCCGCCTTAAGGTCTGGATGCGAAACCCGAAACAATCCGAAGGCTGAGCCGAATTTTAACAACTTCCAAAACCCAAACTCTCAGCCCCAAATGTTCACATGTTCAAATGTGCGTACACGCTGTCCCTCAGAAATGCTCAGGCTTGGGCGTTCAGGTTTGGTGTATTGTTTCGAAATTACGGTTTCGGGTTAGGGTCTGGGCTTAGGGTTGAGGGTTTAGGATTTAGAGGTCCGGGTTGTGCAGGCTGCCCCTCACGCCTAGGGCTTAGGCTCAGAGCTTGGGATTTAAATTGTTTGGGGTATCCTAAACCCTGAACCGTTAGGGGTATCCTAAACCCTGAACCCTAAACCCTAAAACCTAAACCGTGAACCCTAAACCCTAAACCGTAAACCGTACACCCTAAACCCTAATTAAACCCTAAACCCTAAACCCCCAAACCCTAAACCCTGAAGCCTCGCCGAAGACGGGTTTAGGGCTGACACCCTCGTGCGCCCCATCTCGCGGTGCCCCCCCTGGCGCCTTGTCGGCGAGGGGCTCACCGAGCTGCTCGCACTCGACATCATGTAAACCCTAAACCCTAAACCCTAAACTCTAAACCCTAAACCGTAAAACCCCATATCCAAAACCCTGAGTCCCCGTCTTGTCTGCTCTAGTCAGAGATTCGGCACCTCCACAGCATTCTTTACTCCAGCTTTGAAGCTCCAGGGTTTAACTCAGAGTTTTCTGGGAGCATTTAGAGGTTGGGGTTAAGGGTTTAGGGTTTAGGGTTTAGGGTATAGGGTTTAGGGTCTAGGGTGTCTTTTTGGCTTGCCTGGGGAAGAGGAAGATTTCATGATCAGGCAGGTGCCCGCAATATGTAAGACTTGGGGAGCAAAAATGGCAGGCGACTTCTGTGTGATGGCTTAAGGCAGTTGATCGTCTGACCCTGGGCCGCTATATGCCACTATCGTCGGGATCATTTTCCGCTCTGGCTTAGGGTTTAAACTTCAAACCCTGAACCCTAAACCCTAGACCCGACCCTAGACCCTAAACCTACATGCGGAAGATTAAAATGCTTCGTGTCATCTGCTGCCTAGGGCCTAGCCTGAGCACTGATGTTGGGAAAGAGGGAGCCCAGGGTTGAAGGTGGGCTTGGGCCAGGTATGGTTTAGGTTTGAGGGTTGAGGGTTTAGGGTTTAGGGCTTGAAGTTTATAAGGTGAAGGGCTTGGGCACATACACTACATGCGTTGGCCGATGCTTTGTTCACGAAAGTCTGCAGCTCAGGGACAAACGCCGGCTTCTGAGTCTTCTGGCATAGAGATGCCCGTCTTTATACATCCCTAAACCCTAAACCCTAAACTCTAAACCCTAAACCCTAATTATACAGATATGGCAAGACTTCTTCGTTGGGCAAATCCTGGAGCGGCGGAGGGCTCAACTTAGATGCCCCTAGCGTGGCCTCAGGGAGGCTTCGGGGCATTAAGGTGGTTCGGCATGGGAGGGGCACGGGTTTTGGGTTTAGGGTTCAGGGTTTAGGGTTTTGTTGAGCTCGTCCCATGGGCCAGGAGGAGCACTGCGCTTACATAGCTCATTTGCGCTTCAGGCCCCTAACTAGACCCAAAACCCAGAACCCCTACACGCTACACCCGAATTTCCCTCAACCCTAAACCCGAAACCCTAAACCGCATTTTCGACACCTAGGCCAGGCTTTCGGCTGCTCCGTCTCAGCCCATGAGATTGGCCCGCCGCTGGCGCAGCTCGGCTAGCAGACCTTCGAGTTGCTGATGGGGTTTTAGGGTTTAGGGTTTAGGGTTTACCGGGTTTAGGGTTGAGGGTTTAGGGTTTACCGGGTTTAGGGTCAAGGGTTTAGGGTTTACCGGGTTTAGGGTTCACCGGGTTTAGGGTTTACCGGGTTTAGGGTTTAGCGTTCAGGTACCCTAAACCCTAAACCCCAAACCCTGGAACCGTTGGGTTCAACTTGCACCTTCCCGGCAAGTTTTTCGGGATGGAGCAATGGGCCCCACGCCAGGGGGGACCCGGTGAACCTGCAAAGCCCACAGTGCCAAACCCTAAATCCTAAACCCTAAACTTATACTGATCCCCTAGGGGTCCAGGTGTCCATGTATCGAAATAGGGAATACTTGGGCCTTCAAGTACTTTCTATGTAGGGATTGTGGGACCCAAGTATTTTGGAATAGGTACATGGACCCTTAGGGATCATGAAGAAAGCTGTAATAGTACTGACGCTAGTCATCAGAATAAACACGCAACAAGGCAATGTGGAGAAAAACAACCTCATGGCACCAATAAACGGCCTTCAATCATGATCTCGAGATCTCTGTGGCGTATCTGCATGATCCCTCTCAAGCCAGTTTTCCGAAATCCTTGAACCACTTGGCCCGTTCAAGCCTAGTGCGGAAGTTGGGGGGAGTAACCCTAAACCCTAAACCCTGAACCCTAAACCCTAAACCCTCTTCTGGGGAGTGCCAAACCTCACAATTGCTTGAGGAGACCCACCTTCCAGGCTCTGCTGGACTACATCTTGGGCGCGAAAGATCTGACTCCCTGACTGCAGGACGCGGCAGGTCATAAGCTGGGGAGTTCGATTTAGGGTTTAGGGTTTCGGGTCTAGGGCTCAGGGTCTGGGTGGGGGAAGAATATTTCCGTGGAAGCTCTACCCAGGTGGGTAGAAGCGGCCTAAGGTTGCTTCAGGGTGGAGGGCAACAGGTACATTTTCGCACCCCAAACCCTAAACCCTACACCCTGAACCCTGAACCCTGAACCCTGAACCCTGAACCCTGAACCCTAAACCCTAAACCCTAAACCCTAAACCCTAAACCCTAAACCCTAAACCCTAAACCCTAAACCCTAAACCCTAAACCCTAAAACCCTAAACCCTAACACCTAAACCCTAAACCCTAAACCCTAAACCCTAAACCCTAAACCCTAAACCCTAAACCCTAAACCCTAAACCCTAAACCCTAAACCCTAAACCCTAAACCCTAAACCCTAAACCCTAAACCCTAAACCCTAAACCCTAAACGCCTTTGCCTCCGACGCCCTCTCAGATAGAGCTAGGTGAGCCAGATGGCCCCCAGCGAAGTGGGCCGGAACAAGCCCTTAAACCCCTAAACCCCTAGACCCCTAGACCCCTAAACCCCTAAACCCCTAAACCCCTAAACCCCTAAACCCCTAAACCCTAAACCCTGAACCCTAAACCGGGTGCAGAACCACTCGCACCTGTTTGGCCTTGCCAGCCAACTGCCAGTGCACAAAGAAAAAAACGAAACATGGCTGCATGCCTGCAATCGCAATGCCGCTGTCTTTGAACAGTTTATTAAAGGATGGTACCTACGCGTAGAGCATCGCCTCACTGAGACTCAGAGCCAGAAGGGTTTGGCATGCATCGCTTGTGGATCCTTACGAAAGGCACGCTGCACCTGCGCCATCTGCCCGCGAATCTCTTCAACGAATGCTGGATCAACTTGCTCACACTTCTGGGCGAAGGTCAACATCTGCCACCAACTCATCCTTGTCATGACCTTCATCAAGTTTCGCTTTCTGCCTGGCTTGAGCTCCTCGTCGTGGCTGGATGTTGCAATCGCTTGGTGGATATCCTGCAAGGCCAGTGAGCAGAGAGGAGTTGAGGGAGGGACGTTTTCAGAATGAAAGGGGGCTTAGTCCTCCTGCAGCTTAGGGCCTTTCGGTGGGGGCCCACAGAGGCCCTCAACAAAATTCTCGAAAGGCATCCCAGAACCTACATTCCCTAGTGTTTAGGGTGCAGGGCGAGAGGCCCATGGTTTTGCAAACTGTGAGTCTGCGGTAGCCATGGTGCGTTCGTGCTCGTTTCTTGCACTCCCGAGGTTTGGGAGACATCTGCTGAAAACTGGAGGCGGCTAAAGGCTCCTGCAAGCTCAGGGGCCACCTAGCAGCAAGGCCTCAACCAAAAACTCTGAAGCCCGAATCCCCTAAGCCCCCCCAAACGCATCGGCACTTGCGGACTTTGAAGATGAGGACCCCCTTATAATGGGATTTGCTAAACGGAACCCCAAAGAGTAGTTTAGGGTTTAGGGTTTAGGGTTTAGGGTTTAGGGTTTAGGTACAACGATCACGACTTTTTGAATCCAGCTCGTGCTAGTTACAACAAACACAACCTGTCACCTGCTCATCGATTTAGCGTCTACAGGCCGCCGCGGGGCTTGACGTAGAGGCTTAAGCGCTTCGGCTGTTAGGGATAATTGGGGCTTCGCGGTGTGGGACCCTGCCTGGAGGATTCCGAAGGACTCATAGACAAGACCAGCGTGACGTGCACGTCGCGACAGCTGCACAAGAAGCATTTCCAGCAGTTCCCGCTTGGACAGGCCCTGCAAGGCTTCCCTCTGTTGCTTATCGGGTGCGACGGCTCGGTGATTGCAATCGGATCGTCCGCGGAAATGGCAGCAAAGCTCAACGCTCTCAGCCGACTCCCCGATGGACGGCCTCAGCCGGGCTAAGGATTTTTAGGCTTGTAGAGTAGAAGTTTAGGAGTGAAACAGGCCAGCAGTGAACCGGGTGACTCTGGGAGCTGTTTAGGCTGACAACGTGTCCGTAAAGGCATCTATAGCAGCGAATCACTTTCGGTCCTACTCCCAACAATGCTGTGGGATCTCGAGAATGCTGGGCATCGCAGGAGAGGGGGTGTGACAGTGCGAGGTCCAAGGGCTCGCACTGCCATTGCTACTTTTTGGAGGATTCGATGGGAAGTCGAAGCATCCAATGCAATCAAGCGGCACTACGAACTGAAGACTTGGGTCCTCATTAGAGGGTAGCGCATTTGCCATCGCTGCTCGCCTTGTTGCAAGGACCCTTCCAGACAACCCCGGGGGGGGGGGGGGGGGGGTTGCGCATGGAGTGGCTCAGAGGGTAGTGAACTCCCGCTGATATTCCAACAACAGCCCACTATCGCCCCTCACAGGTTCTGCGAGTAGACCTAATAGTCGATGGGGCCTCGCTTCTGTGGCCATTTGGGGGCATGTAAGGCAGACGGTGCTCCTCACAGCCGAGAGACCGGTCTGGAAGCACTCCCGAAAGAAGAAGCCACCAGAATGACTTGAAAAACGATGGCTGCGCGGGTCTTAATTTCAGGGCCCCTTGCGGGGTTTAGGGCTTAGGAAGGTATGCGGTCGGTTATTTGTTGAGAGGTGCCTAGAAGGAAACCCTACTTCAAGCCCTCATTTCCCGAATCAAGTTTGCAAGCGGCTGTCAGGTGCATTCAGAAAGAGCTCCCTCTCCCTCTCCCTCTCCCCCTCCCCCTCCCCCTCCCTCTCCCTCTCCCTCTCCCTCTCCCTCTCTCTCTTCTCTCTTTTCTGGTTTAGGGTTCGCCTGCTTGCAAAGGGCAGATGGAATCCTCCCACTCCCGAGACTGAGCGAAACTCTGCCGCACATGGAATGCCTTGGGATCTGAACACCGGCGATGAACAGGTCCTCAACACCCCTTTCTAAGCATCCGAAACCGGAAAAAAAAACACACACATGATGCTCAGCCTCGAACCGGCCTTCGACACCAAACCTCCCCCCAAAAACCTATAGAACCCCAAGCCTGAGCCCCTTAGAAATCGAGAAGCCTCCCGGCAAGGAGAGCTCCCGAAGAACCGCAGCTGTGATGGCTTGCACCTCAAAGAAGTATCTAGGGGACCGGCTTCTGATGTTGGGGGTTTCTTGGTTTCGGTGCCTTGGCTTTAGGGTCTAGGCTTGAGTCTGCAAGATCTGTAGGGTCAGTAGGGTCTAGCGGGTTTACAGGGTTGGCTTCAGCACGACAACTTTCGGCACCGGCGGTAGCGCCATGCCGGCGCATTGATGCCTGCCTCGACTCCTCTCCAAGATTCTGAAGGCACGGGAGTTCAGGCAATTCTCCAGTTCGCGCATCTGGAAAGACGCCTTGTCTTGCCTGACATGTTGCGCAGGAGGGATTTCCTGCGCGCTTGCTCGGCAGAGTGGCGGGTTCGCACACGTGTAGACGAAGTGATGATGGGATGTGAGGATGGACGGCGTCGGTTTGCGGCAGCTCTGTGCATCTGTGGCTTAGGGATTCAGGTCTAGGCTTAGGCCCATTAGGAGCACGAGATAGCACATTTCCACAACATGACTGAGTATTTGCAAATACAGCTGCAGGGATCCCTACAACACCCTCAGCCGTTCTCAGCGAGCTAGAAGGGATCCCAGGGCCCTCGAGGGCAACCCACCCTAAACCCTTTGCAAAAGAGTCTCTTCCGCACGGCTGAGGACGAAGCACCGACCAGCAACCCAAATAGAGGGGCGAGGATGGCCAGCCTCGGGGGTTTAGGGTTTAGGGTTTAGGCTTTAGGGTTGCAGAGATTTCTTTAGGGAAGCCAGGAAAGAAAATGGGGACCCCCTCCCAAGGACGTGCACGAAGGCGCCTCACCCTTACGGTCTCTGGACATGGTCCTCCTTTTTTGCGCAGGCTTTAGAGGCTCATGGGGATGTAGGGCTTTAGAGGATCTGGGGTGTTAAACGGCCTTGAGTTTTGGGGGTCCCGGTGCCACTTTGAACTCACCAAATCCCAACTACACCCCAGCGATACCAGACCTGCGAGTATCAGGCTCGCGGCGAACCACAAAAGCCCACCCTCTCTCACTCGGGGCTCATGGTCGTATGTTACCAGTGTACATGTTACCAGGCAGCAGCATGTCCATGAAGCCCAATGGTACGATGGGATCAAGACAGGACAGATATGGAAAGCAGCCGGTACGATCATCAGATGGCAGCCTAAGTTCAGACAGGTGGCCTCAGAAAACGGTCACAAAATCGTGACCCGGTTTGGCTTTCGGGATTCGACCGCGAGGGTTGGTTTTAAAAACAAAGACGTTTTGCTTTCCGTGGCGCTTTTGTTTTGTGCCGCGCCCCAAACTTAACGCCCGTCTGAAACCAAACCTTAAACCATATGGGTATGGCGTACCCTTGATATACCCCAAAGTAGTATAAAGATTATAAAAGGAACCCCCAAAACTGTACCCCTGCTTGCTTGATGATGCGGATATCCGGAATCTTTGGCGCATGGCAGATGCCCAGGACGGGTGGCTTCCGCAGCCTGCAGTGTGCCGAGTTGCAGGGAGAAGGTTAGAACGGCTTAGGGTCTGTGGGTTGAGAATAAGGGTCATAGGAATCTAGGAATCTATGGTTTCCGGAATGTAGGGGTTGGGGCTGAGGGTGTAGAGGCTTTGGGGATTTGAGGGCTGCGAAAACAGCGTGCTGGAGTCTTGTTGTTCGGCATTTTTCGCTGCCGTGGACGTACCAAGCTGACGGGCATCTCACAGCCAACCATACGTGCAGTACGCCTACACCCTTGACCCCAAATCCAAACTGAAGCTTTTGCACTTGGACAGAAAGCTAGCAATGCCCGAAGAACACCTGCTGCAGTCCAAGGATCCCCTTCCTAGACCCCCCCCGCAACCACAAATCTTACAACCTGCACCCGACACATCCCGAAACCCTAAACCCCAAACCCCTGATCCCCAAATCCCAAGCTAAGCCCTACACTTCCCTTAGGACCGCTTAGTAGCAAGCCCCAGGTGGATGCCTCGAAGCCGGCGAGCCCAGCGCCCAGGAGGAGGAAGATAGAAAGCGAGCAGGTGCCAAAGACCCCTGAAGAGAGGGCTTTGTGGTTATGGGGCTATGGGGCTATGGGGCTATGGGGGCTATGGGGGCTATGGGGGCTATGGGGCTATGGGATTATGGGGCTTTGCTGGGGGCATTCAGCCCAAGCCATGACTCAACCCTAAACCCCAAACCCTGACCCCACACCCTAAACCCTAAACAACAAACCCCAAACCCTAAACCCTAAACCCTAAAATCACAAACAACCCCCCCATACCGGCCTAGACCTCATGATGGCTACCAACATGACGGCACAAGGCTTTTGTAGAGGATGCGACTCTGGCTTGGGCGAACAGACACCCCCCCCCATGATTTTCAAGACACTTCACTACAAATTGCTTTAAAAACCAAAAACTTTAAAATATTATTCCTCATTGAGGGTAATGTAGGGATTATTATGTATTCATTCTTTTGGGGTTCTGAAGCAAATAGTAGTTCAGGGTGGCACTGCCCAGGCCCAATATAGGGGCCTTAATCATCAGAATAGGGTTTGGGGGGGATTCTTATAGAGTATAGCTGTATAGGGACCACCAGACCAGGGAACGCGATTAGTATGCATATTCCGACCACTACATTCGGCTCAAACCAACTTTGGGGTTTGGAACTTAGGTGGGCTTCATGCTTCCAAAGCACAAGTCAAAACACAGCAGCCTGGACAACCTTTGATCGATCCTGTAAATGTCTTCCTGCAACAAGCATCTCTACTTTAGACCCCGAGGCATGAGACCTGGGGAAAAGCCACAAACGCCTCAGGAGAAAACCCTGTGCCCCTCCATCGTGGGCCTATGAGAAGAAGATGCGCAACGGGAAACTGGCGTTGGGCTGCTGCCAAGCGTGATGCGCGAGCCTGCCACGATTTTGATCTTCAACGCCACGGTTGAGCATCTGGGTCTGGGCACGCTGAGAAATAGACAGGTAGCATAGCGTTCCCTGTCTTGTCATTTTCATAGTCCTTATGTGCCGATACCCGAAGCCCTGCGCCCTAAACCCAGAAACAGTCAAGCCCTCAGGTCACTTGACGCAGACGCTGGCCTGCCGAATGGCACGGACAGAGCTGCAAACAGAAGACCTGAGCCACTCCGTCTTGCGACCAAAAACCCCCTAACTCCCTAGGATAGGGCTTAAACACCTCAAACCCAACCTTCAAAGACATCGGCAGGGCTTTCCGGCCCCTGAATAACCCACAACTGGCAGGCACCTTAGGCTCCCGCGGCACACCCACAGAGGTGCAAAATAGCAGAGACTCCAAAGGGTCTGGCTCGTCACCTGCTTCAGTTCTCCAGTAAGGTTTAGGACTTCTATAGGGGTGCTGAGAGGGTTCATAGGACTTACAGGGTAGTTCTCCCATAAGACTTGGGACTTCGGGCTTTTGGACCTAGTGTTCAGGACTAAGGCTTGAATGGTGAGGCTGGTGTAGGGGTTTAGGGCTCATTCAAGTTCAGGGAGGGAAACCCCATACCCTAAACCCTCACTCTAAAGGGCATTGGGATTTGCGACGCAACGCTTCGGGCGAAGAGTTTGGGGTCTTGAGACTTCGACCTCACACACGCTTCTGGTATGGGGTTGACCCTAAATCCCAAACCCTAAAAACACCTTGAACCAGGGCACCTCCAGCCCGAAACCCACAGGATCACATGGCGAAACAAACAGGGCAGAGGGGCCCCTGTACCTCCCCCGTTTCTACAGTTTTTGTCACTGACGCTTTGGGTTGCTGTTTGGCCCCGAAGTAGACCCTAAAACCCTACGCCCCCTAAGTCTAAGGTTAGGGCTTAGGGTTGGCTGGTGAAGGAGCTTGTGTTTTTTGGAGCTTAGCGTTTGGGGAGTCTGAGGTCAGGCCCGATCCCACCAGGAGGCACAAGTCAAGGAGACCAGGCGGATTTGTTCTCCTTTTTCTTGGCTCGCCGTGGATGAATTGGGTCGCAGGCTGAAGCTCGCCCACCCTGAAACAGAAGGGTTCGAAGCCGGGACGTGAAGAATTCTCTTCCCGTGTGCCCGGAGACACCCCGGAAAGCCCCATCTCTCGAACGGGCCCAAGCAGCCCGTGGCCAGAGATTGAAACCCTCCCCCAAAAAACCCCGGAAACCAGCTGTCCCGAGACAGTTTGACTCTCGATCCGCGCAGAGGGCGGAGGAAGAGCACCTTCGGCAGACCCGACCCCAAAACCCAAAAGCCAGAACACCCCAACATTGGGACGCCGGGGCCTATTGGCATCCAAAGCGTGCTGTGTCTATGACGAGTCTGCCACCGCTTCTGCACCCGACAGCATTTCGGGATCCTAAACCTTCCCCGAGTGTTAAGGCAGTCAAGGGTTGAATGCGGTTGCGGCGGGTACGGGTTTGGTGCTTTGTGGCGCCGTCGTGCTTCTAGTGCAGGGTGGGGGAAGAACAGTGTCTGAAGCTTTGCCAAAGGTGCTCAGTTTCCGATCAGCGACACAACGTGGGATGCCTTGGCACAGGGATCTCTGACAGCTCACGGATCGACTGCATGAACCCGACAAACCGAGTTTTGAACCCTGAAGCTGCACGCATACTCCAGAGCAACCCCTTGAAGAGTCTATGCTAGGAATGTCGTTTGCATGCCGCATCTCTGAAACTCACACCTGCCTCAGTTTTGGAGGTGAGACTCTAGAAATCTCTTGGGTCAATCTGCTAGGGTTTGGGGTTTCAGGTGCCGAGGCTTCCTGGTCTGACTGGCCGGTGGGTTCAACATCCAGGGGCTCATGCTGCCAAGGGGAACCTCAGTGCTACAAAGAGGCTACAGGTAAACGAGGTACTCGTCTGCGCTGTAAATTGATGGGGTCTTGTTGCCATGCCTTCCGAGACAGGCCATGCAGAGACCAGCCCCAGATGTCTTGGTAAACCCCCATAGTTCCCAAAAGCATCCGCTTCGGCCCAGGACATGACAAAATGTCCCAAGGGTAAGCCCTACCAGCCCAAAACCTGCGGTGCCTTGTTACCTAACCATGATCCAGCAGATCATGATTGCAAGATCTTCGCTTTCAAGAGGAGTCCGGGCTTTTCGACACAAAAACCTGGTTGATCCAAACCCCCAAAACCCGAAGCCCAACGCCCTCTTCATCTTGAGGGTTCGTTGTTTGAAGGCCTCTCTCACCCAGAAACTGTGCCCCGATACCAGCAAACCCTGAACCTCAGACCCTAAGCCATCGAGGGCTCGGGACCCGATTTCAACCCTGCGGAAGATCACTTCGGGTTTATGGGGTCTATCAGAGTGTATCATCGTTTAGGGGTGCTTAACATGGCCGAGGACGTGTCAGATGCTGACAGGGTCGATAACACCAGGAAGAGATCCGAGAAGCGTCTCTGACTCCCGTGACCCTGGCTCTATATAACGCGATAGACATCCTATAACCCTCAGCCCAAAACAAAAAAACCGTATAAACCTAGACCCCATATGCCAAAGCAGTCCCACGAAAACATTTTTCAAGGCCTCTCCTTGTCGAGGGTCCCTCCTTTCTTCCCCGAACAATCATGCTTTTCGAGGGCCTGAGTTTGACTTTTAGGCTTTAGGGTTTAGGGCTCAAGAAGCGTAGCTCCGTGTCGCTCGTGTCTTTTTAGAAGCTTTTCGGGGCTGAATTGAACTTTTCTAACCTCACCATGAATAATCCTAATCCGCCCAAGCATCCCTACTAGCCCCAGTCACTCTCATAACCCACCCCCCCCCCCCCCCCCCCCCCAATGCTTCTCGGCTGCAGGGGCGGCGACGAGAGAGGCTGAACGATCCGAGCTGGCCAGGAGGCTCGCGCGGACGTTTCCCTCCTGCCAGCGCAGGGTAGAGAGACTGGATCGAACCACTATCCCAACAACAAAAAGACTATAGGGTTTTAGGGTTTAGGGTTTAGGGTTGAGGGTTTAGACAGCCGTAAAGATGCACGCGACGTCCCGAAGCAAGTGCTTATAACACCCCAGTTGAGGCCCTCGCGCGCCGTGCCGCCGGTGCCGCTGTGGACTCCTTCCTTGACGTTCGGCTTTTCGGGTTCAGGGGCAGGTTTAGAGTTTAGGGGCCAATGCGCATGTAGGGTTTATAACAGGTCTATCCGAGTTGTCAAATCTTTCTACTACAGGTTGTGGGGTGCGGGGCCCATGCAGGGAGGAGTCAGCACCCTGAGTCGCACACCTCCTACTTGGCTGTTGGAATCCACAAGAAAACTAAACCAAGGGTCCAGGGCTTACAGGGTCTGCTGCTAAAACTCCTTCCTGCGCTTGGATAGCTCTTCATAGGCCCCGGTAACACATCATGGATTTCAAATCTGAACCGCCTTAGGACTTTGATGGAGTTTGAAAATTCAGGGTGTAGGGGGGTTTAGCTTTAGGGTTCAAGAGTTCAGGATTTAGAGCTTACGATTTCGGACTTGATGACGGGATTGGCAGGCACAACGATTCCTTCTTTGCACTTTGGACCTCTCATTGGCTCGCACATCGTCTGACCCTGAATCCCCAAGCTCCCCAAACCCCAAACCTACAAACCCCCTAAGACCTAAACCTCTATAACACCTAAACCTACACACCCCCTAAGCCCCGAACCCCCCCCCCCCCCCCCGGCCCAGCAACCCAAAATAGTGCAACCCGCCCTCCCTCCATTGGGTGCCTGGGCATCGACAACCCGGGTGGGCCCAATTAGGGTTTAGTGTTTGGGGTTTAGGGTTTGGGGTTTAGGGTTGGGGTTTAGGGTTTGGGGTTTTGGGGTTTGGGGATTAGGGTTTGGGGTTTAGGGTTTCGGGTTTATAGGGGCTAGAGGGGTTTAGGATCCAGGATTAGGGTGTCGCGGTCGAGGGCGTAGTTGAGTGGCACTCACAAAGTCACACGCATGAAGCCCCAAAAGACGAAGGTTCAGCGACAGGAACAGGAGAAGGGCAACCAAAGCAACGATGCAGTTGATGTAGTAGAAATACCTGGGTGAGAGGGGGCAGGTCAACATCGGTGTCCGCCTGCGTGAACCCGTACGGGAGGGCACTTGTTGTCGTGTCTGCTGTGTTTCTTGCTTTTGTTGCGTTGCCGTAGCTCTTTGCTCTTCCCGAATCTGCTAGATAGATGTACATGTAGATGATTGGTCTTGCCATCCCGGGCGTTTGCCGGATAGGCGATTGTCGGTATTGTGTGCTTTGTTGGTAGAAGGGTTTGTGGGCGCGCTGGGGCATTAAGGCTTCGGAATGTGGACCATGATGTTCCAAACCAGCAGTCCTCCACGACAGCATGACATGTTGTCCCAGTGTTGGCATTGCTGCGATTACGAAGCTCAGGAGCATGAACCCTAAACGATTACGAAGCTCAGGAGCATGAACCCTAAACCCTAAACCCTAAACCCTAAATCACCTGTTTTGGCAGGGGCTTTCGAGGCACACAGTAGCGTAGCCTTATCAATCCCGTGGAGCTGACGGCGCGAGCAACCTTCCTGACTTCAAGCTGCTTCTTAGGGCTAAGCCTTCTAGGGTTTAGGGTTTAGGGTTTAGGGTTTAGGGTTTAGGGTTTAGGGTTTAGGGTTTAGGGTTTAGGGGAAGAAACCCTAAACCAGGTTCAAACCCTAAACTTTACAACGCCCTCTCGTTCTGACCGCGGGAATCCGACCTTGGATTCCTAAACCTGAAACCTTCAACCCCAAACCCTAAACCCTAAACCCCAAACCCTAAACCCTAAACCCTAAACCCTAAACCCTAAACCCTAAACCCTAAACCCTAAACCCAAGGCGTGACAGAGTGCACCAAGTGCCCGTCGTTGAGGTTCTCCGGAACGAGCCTGTGGTCATGTCGCGGCTGCAGGGCGTTGCACACATTGGGGTTTAGGGTTTAGGGTTTAGGGTTTAGGGTTTAGGGTTTAGGGTTTAGGGTTTAGGGTCCTCGACCCTATAATCCTTGCGGTCCGAGAGGCGGACTCAAGGCAGCAGTGATGGCGTTGGAGATGGATCCTCGGCTTTCCTACGTAAGGCTTAAGCCTTGTAGGGTTCGGGGTGCAGGGTTTACAGGGATCTAAAGGTGTAGGGTTTAGGGTTTAGGGTTTAGGGGTATAAGGTTTAGGGGGTATAAGTTTTTTGAGCATCTATTGAGCATGGCACGGGCCTTCGGGACAGCGAGGGCAAAGCATGTTCGGGGGTTTGACAGCAGAGAGGACCGGTGGGGGCGGAACAGACGCCGTCAGGGCCACTTTGAAACACTTTGGGACGACGGGATGCAAGAATCTTTGTTTGTGTGTGTTTTTTTCTTTTTTTTTATTTTTTTTTTTTGGGGGGGGGGGGGGGGGAGGAGTTCCGAAAAT